GATGTTATCAGTCCTGGTGAGTTGCCCATCTCTCAACCACTGCCTCAATCAACATCTCCCCTAGCTTAACAAATCATACGCAAGCACTGCTGATGAAAATCCTTCAATCATTTCTTGCAGGCAGGCATCTTAGACCATAAACTCGCTTTGTTGAGAACAAGATGCACTCTATAAAAACCATATCAGTGTCCAGCAGCAGGGTAAAACACCAGAGTAAAGTTGGTCACACATTGGTTAAAAGTCTGCTTTCCTTCATTTTTCTGGGGAGCCTGAAAGGCTCCAGCCACTGTAATAGTAGCCTGATTACAGCCTAAGCTAGTCCAAGTCCTTGCAGATCTCTCAGCTTGCAGAATGATGGCACTGTACACAACAGCTGAGTACTCTAAAACTTTAGTGTTTATTTTCAGGCTATGATATAGGCTCTGCCTTGCTCTTAAGCAGGAGGTAAGTAATCCTCATTCCAGTCATAAGTCAGAGTGATAGATCTCATTAATATTAGACGAAAGCAGAAGCCGATTTATCAGATAAGTTTTCAATTAAGTATAAAAGTTTGATTACATCCTGAAAACTATTGTTTTACATATCTGAAGCATTACTGCTTTCTCCATCTTTTCACTTACAATAAGAGGAAATCTAATTTAAAAACTTTGCATTGCTATACCATTTGCATTTATATACATAAAAGCCAGGTGCTATAGACCTGCATGCAATCATTCAGTGTGATTTTGGGATTAAAAAAAATGATAATAATAAAAAATGCTTGCCTAGGAAAGGTTTCAGTGAAGGTCACAGAGATATTAACTATGAAGGATAGCTGCTTAATTTTTTTTTAAGTGTAATCAAATCTAATCTTGTCAACTAAATCAGAGAGAGGAAGTGATCAGTTTAAGATACATCAGAAGATTTGCATAGAATGAAAATGAATCAAAATTAGTTTTGGTATCTGAGATGGCTAAAATGACAGCCTAATTGCTCCTGAATCAAACGTCACAAAGCTTGGTGTGTAATTTTAATCATTGATGAGATCCAAGTTAATTATGCTCATGGCACACATGCAATTTAAAAACCTTTTGAAATAATCTGATCACAAAGAGCATGAAAACGTAATAATTCTCTAATTAGTCCAGAGAGAAGCATGTTTACCTTCCCGTTTGGCAAATCTGCACAAACAGTGCGTGCATCCTGCAGAAAGCCTACATGTCTAACAGATTCTCCTCCTCAGGCCTTATCTAAAGATAAAAAGTTGCACAAGGGTAGCTGCACCAGAAAGCAAACCCCAGCACCTTCCATCTGTAGAGGACTGGTATAAATGACTTTATACTGGTATCTCTCAACTTTGACACAAAGGGATAAACAACACCGCTATAAAGCATTTTTACATGTAGCCACTCAGCAACTGCACTCGCTGAGACTATTTCAGTCACACGTAAACACACATGCGAGCATGAAGACATGCATTCAGCTGGCACCAACACGACACGAGAAGTTTTTTGGACTGCTGCAGAGGAAAAAAAGAAGTAGTGGTTCTTTTTTGGTGCTTCCGCAGTGATACATGTGAAGTAACTCTGTCCTATCCCAGATCATGAAAGGATCAGCCAGAATGAAAACACTTTAGCAGGTAAAACTAATGGATAGAGAAGGAGTTAATATAGCAAATGGAGCCAGATGTAACTGCCCCAAACTATTCTAGCCTTAACTGTGGCTTTCCATTTAACCTTTGCTGCTTGAAGCAAGCTCTCCCCATGCTGCTGTATCCTACGGCATCACAGTATCCAGAACATACACATAAAAATAGTTGCCAGAACAGTTGTGGGCATGCACGCTATATTGCAACCAGGATGGTATTTATGAGCATTAAGTCATTTTAGGCAGCTACAAAATGGGTTCTGCAACACAGCATCTCACCCTTCCCCTTCTTCCCACAGCCTTGTACTGAGCAGCCTTGCTGTTGCAATTTCTAGTCTTAAAAGGTTTAGCAGAAGTAGACTAGATTTTTAAATATTCCACCACATAACTAAAGTACAAAACAAAAACAGCATGGTAATAAGTGTCATAACATGTTTCCTGTTACTTAATCAACATTTTTAAATAAACTGCACATTTAGAGTTATCAGGCTCCCTTACATAACTTCAGTATTAATCAGTCCTAAACAATGACATCAGCCCTCTGATCACAATTGTATAAACAAGAGTATATTTCATTCCAATTAAAACAAATACTAATTCTTTGAACTGACGAGCAACACAGAAAGAAACCATAACATATATTTCCATACTTAAGCTGTTTACAGTCTTTGTTGCCATGTTTGCTATCAGGTTAGGCAGATGAAAACATTATACCTTGATGAAGAATTAAAAATTACTGAGATGACTTACTGATTGTACGTAACATATGATGGAACATGCATCCATTAGAGATTACAGCATCTTCAATATTGAGAAATAAAAAATCCCCCCCTCCTTCAGAGACCTTCTATGAGAGTTATAATAAAGTTTCACAAAGTCATAACTAAAAAAATATCAAAAGGACTGTCTCAGAATCGATGCTTTTCCACAAAGTCTCTCTAACATATTCCAATCCTCTTTACAAAAGCAATCACAACGTAAACCATACAATACACAAAAACAGAAAAACAAAATATGCAAATATATTAGATACATATTTGTACAGCCTTAAGACATCAAAAAAGTACAAATCTCTGCCAGTGCTATCAGCTGAGTTCACAGAAATACATACCTGCCGCTCTGCTTAGCATTTAAAGTTCTCTCAGTAATTCCAAGGCCACTAACTTTGATCATCTAAATACTTTTCTCGGAAACTACTGGCCAGTGTACAGAAAACCTTACATTGCTAACCTCTGCCTTCCTCCTGGAGTAACTGTGCTCTAAACTCTGCTCAGCTAAATTACAAAACCCACCTACAGCCAGATTTGCTAATGAAAAGGGGGTGCTTTCTGAACAATAGGAGAATTCCTCTGCATTTAGAATGCAGAGTTCCCATTAGAACAAAGAATCGCAAATGCCAGTTTTACCTCTGTTTTTTAATTGAGATTGTCCCAGCCCTCTTCTACGGTCCAGTGAGACAGTGTTTGTGAAATGATTAAAAAGAACGTGATCTGATCAAGAGGATGGAATAATGGAAAAGGAATGCTAGGTTAGCCACAGTGCTAAGTGCTGGGAAAGAAGACCAAGAGGCTTCTTAGCCCATTGTTTTTATTCCCATCTGCTTTTTAGCCATCTCATAACACTTTTGATTCTTTATTTATTCTGGTAAAAATGGGTTAAAAGTTGCACACTTGTCTCTGAATTTGGTAACAAATTAAAGAAATCTTTTACAAAAAGAAAAAAAAAAAAAAAAAGGAAAAAGAAGAGAAGAAGAAAAAGAAAATAAATAAAAATCCTTGAATTATATCAAGTTTCCAAAAGGTCATCACTGTCTCTGCTGTGGCCTTTTCCCCATACCAAATCCTCTATCAATATGTCATAGTGAGTTAGGCAAAGACAAAAGAGAGGCTCAGTGTGAAAACTGCACATATATCTAATCCTGACAAAGCAATGAATAGGCCTTCACAAGTATAATTATACTTGTTTATTTGTTGCCACGTACAGAGGACTGATGAAAAAATCCATCAAAGTGGTATTATGCAGACACCAAGAGCTTCTTTTCTTTGGTTGCTAAAGCCACATTGAGGCTTAAATTCCTTATTGTTAAATTCAGAAGAAAGAAAAAAAAAAAAAAGATTTTGGTCAGACTTTTTTGCATCAATTGCTGACAGATCCTTTGTGTATAGCGCTGTATTATTAGATGCATTAGCCAGAAACTTGCTCACGCTGCTTCTCATTTTAGTCCATGCTGCAATCCGTAATTATAAACTACTGTACACAGCACCTTTTAACAGGGTGTGGTAGGCACTTAGCTGACCACAAGTCAAACAGATTTTAAATTGCCCATTTTCCCACTATCACTTGTTTGAAATATCCAAACACAGGTAAGCTACCTGTTCTATCTTTGCTACAGTTTTGTTGTTTTGTTTTTTTTTCACCTTAAGCTTACAGCTGCAAGGAAATAGAAGGTGGGTCTGGCTAATGCAGGAGTGTCTTTCATTTCAGCCTGCTCAGTGTAGAAGATACGTAGTAGTTTATCTTCCTATACAGAAAGCCATCTAGACATCCATCAGAAACTTGGGCCCAGTGTAGAAAAGAAAAACAAACACAG